CTCTTTTTTATGATGCCGCTCGTATGACAGCACATACTCGTCGGAGCAACCCAACGGTCTTGGCCATACTCTGTAGCCCACAACCATCAACCCACTCGTGCCCACCTTGTTGACGACCGTTACGCAAAACAGGCAATTTTGTCGACGACTTTTAAGTGTCTACAAATTCTCTTCATTTTTTGGCGACCGTTTGCGCAACAAGCCACGAGCCAATCAGCAACCAGGCATTAGTTGGTGGCGAGGGTGCGGACTCGATCGTTGGAGAGGCTGATGATGGAGGAGTTGGTCGAGGCCATGGCCGACGTCGATCGTCCCCTCTTCTTATTTCCCGCCCCCGTCATGGCGTTGGTCGTCCGCCGGAAGAGCAGCGACGCAGCGCGGTGCACTCGCGATCGCTTCTTCTGCTTCGTTGGGGAGTCGTCACCAGACCCCGGGCTCTCCACCGCCTTCTCCACCGCCTCTTCCTCAGTTTCCGTTTCCCTCTCTTTGTTTTTCTTTTTCTTCTCCGCCTTTCGTCGTTCCTCTTCTTCTTTCTTCTTCGCCTTCTGCGTCGTCTTCGTTTTCTTCTCCGCCGTCTCATCACCAACCTCTTCGCTCTTTGGCTTCGCAAACCTTGTCGTCGACCCTCTTAGGTCGACACCGTTGCCTCCGCCGCTGCTGCCGGAGGTCATGACGCGCATCCACGGGTGGTGCCAGAGGTCGTCGAGGGTGATGCGCGCGGCGGCGTTGGGCTGGAGGATGCTGGCCAGGAGGTCCAGCGCCGCGTCGGAGATGTCGGGCGGCACACAGAACTGACCGGCGGCGGCCAGCTGGCGCGACATTTCCTCCGTGGGCGCGCCGAAGGGCATCTGCGCGGTGAGCATCGCCAGCAGCACTGTGTTGGCGAAAGCAAGACACGTCAGCAACTTGTTGTTGCACAACAACACTTAAGGGTGTTGTGTTGTGTGTGGTTGATCAAGCCGCTCCCAATTGGGTTGCGGCATATCCGGGCCGAAACCCTCGAGGCGGAGGCGCAGAGATACAGAACAACGGCAAAAAGAACCAACAAATAAGAATCAATTATTTGTTGTCTTTGGAAAGGAAAGTCCGTCGGAGGGAGTAACAAGACAAAGACGGCGACACAGGACCAATTAAAGATACACAATTATGTCAACAACTCCGCCTCACGCACAAATAATAATAGCAGACAATTATGACCGGAGATGGAGATGACCGGACAGATAACTAGACAAACCGGAAACCAGAGCGATAACACAGTGAAACATATCTCGGGGTGTGTGGAGTTGAGAATCGAGATCGGGTCCACATCACGATGGGCAGATGGAGATGGTGTGCCCATAAATGCGAATTGGGAAAGCCTGCTGTGTGGCGGGGAAAGGAAAGGGCGGCGTACCCACGCCGAGGGACCAGACGTCGACTTCGGGTCCGATGTACTTCTCCCGGTTGATCACCTCCGGGGCGGCGTAGGGAAACGTGCCCACGCACTCCTGCATCCTCTTCGTCGGCGCCCACTGTTATATTTTAAATGACATGGATATGTAGTTGAGATATAGTACATATTGTTAGTCATGATGCGTGTTGTTGACCTCTACAAGGGCTTTTGCGTAAAAACTAAAAACTAAAAATAAATAAATATCTACCAAACAACTCGCAACCACGCAACAGCGAATCCCAAAGAGAGAGTGAACTAA